CTGCGGGGCCGGGGCTTGGGCTGTGACGCTTGGCTTTGCCTGTAGTCTCAAGTGGCCCAAAGCTCATAGCTGTCCCCTTTCCGACCTCTCCAGGTCGCTGCCTCCTTCCCAGACCTAAGTCCCTTGCGGGAAGCAGTCCTTCCACTCGCCTGCTGACACTGGAGGAAGCCCAGGCACGAACCCAGGGCCGTCTGGGAACGCCTACGGAGCCCACAACTCCTAAGACGCCGGCCTCACCTGTGGAAAGGTATGAGCGGGACGCTGGGGAGGGGAGGGTTAGCTGGGAAGCCCTGGTTTCTCAGACTTCCTGCTCTCTCTCGCCCAAACTCCAGAAGGAAGAGAGAGAGAGGGGAGAAGCAACGGAAGCCAGGGGGTAGCAGCTGGAAGACATTCTTTGCTTTGGGGCGGGGCCCCAGCATACCCCGGAAAAAGCCCCTGCCCTGGCTGGGTGGCAGCCGGGCCCCAGCCCAGCCTTCAGGTCAGAGGCTGGGGCCTTGCTGTGGGTGGTGGGAGCAGCTGTCGGGCTGGAGAGCCGGGTGACTTCTCTTCCCCCTACAGGCAGCAGACCTGACACTGTCACACTGAGATCTGCCAAAAGTGAGGAGTCTCTGTCATCGCAGGCCAGCGGGGCTGGTGAGCACAGGGTAGACCCTACAGGTGCCCAAGTTGAGCTAGGAGGAGCTGAGGCCTGGTTTCACCTTCAAACGCTGTACTTCAGATTGAGGGGGTTGCGACTGTTTTGAGGTTGGGTCTTGCTATGCTACTCTGACTGGCCTGGAACTTGCTGTATACCCCAGGCTGGCCCCCAACCTTCGACTGCCTTAGGCCTGAGAACTGAGGTTACATGTGTGAGTCACCAGGTCCAGCAAGGGATTTAAACTTTTAAAACCAGGGCCCCAGGTGTAAGTTAGAGATAAATTGTTACTGATAGTACACACTGTAGTCACTGGTTCATTACTTAAACACCCCAAAACTTGCTGGATGCGATTCAAAGAGGCCCATACCTTACCTGGGAGTGCCTCCCTGCTGCTGTCCCGGACAGAGGCACTCTTGGCGTGGAGGCTCACCCCATAGCGTGTATGTGTGACCTTGTTGCTCAGTGCAGGGTTAGGTTAGGAGCATTAGTGGTAAGCATGCTTTATGTGCAGAGCACAGCCAAACTACCGTCTGTGTTGCTCAGTGCAACCTGCTCGTGTGTGTGTGTGTGTGTGTGTGTGTGTGTGTGTGTGTGTGTGTGTGTGTATGCGCTAACCATTCCTCCACCCGATGGCTTTGGCCATTCTTGTCAGCGATCCCCATCACTCTCACGGTGTCCTACCAAGAGTGAAGCTGCTGTGTAGGGTCAGCACACAGCTAGACTGGATCACAACAGCCAGGTTGTCCAAGGCGGTGTTCCATCTAGACACCCTGTAGAGCGTGTGATAAACTGTCGCCAGACCCCATCCATGCTCTGGGTCTGGACCCATTCATAACCTTGTCCTACCACTCAGAAAGAGCGTGAGCCAGGCCGGGTGGTCTCCACTCAGAAAGAGCGTGAGTCAGGCCGGGTGATCCCCACTCAGAAAGAGCGTGAGTCAGGCCGGGTGATCTCCACTCAGAAAGAGCGTGAGCCAGGCCGGGTGGTCTCCACTCAGAAAGAGCGTGAGTCAGGCCGGGTGGTCTCCACTCAGAAAGAGCGTGAGTCAGGCCGGGTGATCTCCACTCAGAAAGAGCGTGAGTCAGGCCGGGTGATCTCCACTCAGAAAGAGCGTGAGCCAGGCCGGGTGGTCTCCACTCAGAAAGAGCGTGAGTCAGGCCGGGTGATCTACACTCAGAAAGAGCGTGAGTCAGGCCGGGTGATCTCCACTCAGAAAGAGCGTGAGTCAGGCCGGGTGATCTCCACTCAGAAAGAGCGTGAGTCAGGCCGGGTGGTCTCCACTTTGTTTCACACTGTTCTGTGGGGCTGTAGCCTGTCTTCACAGGTGTCCCCCTCTAACTGCGACACTTCTCCCAACAGGCCTCCAGAGGCTGCACCGGCTGCGACGGCCGCACTCCAGCAGTGATGCTTTCCCTGTGGGTCCAGCACCCGCTGGCTCCTGTGAGAGCCTGTCCTCCTCCTCCTCCTCCTCTTCCTCCTCTTCTTCCTCCTCCTCCTCCTCAGAGTCCTCAGCAGCTGGCCTGGGGCCACTCTCGGGTTCTCCCTCACACCGCACATCAGCCTGGCTGGACGACGGCGATGAGCTGGACTTTAGTCCGCCCCGCTGTCTGGAAGGGCTTCGGGGACTCGACTTCGATCCCCTGACCTTTCGCTGCAGTAGCCCCACCCCAGGAGACCCGGCACCTCCTGCCAGCCCAGCGCCTCCAGCCTCCGCCTCCGCCTTCCCACCGCGGGCAACCCCACAGGCCCTGTCGCCCCATGGACCCACCAAGCCTGCCTCACCCACCGCCCTGGACATCTCCGAGCCTCTGGCCGTCTCGGTGCCACCTGCCGTCCTGGAACTGCTGGGGGCTGGAGGGACACCTTCCTCGGTCACCCCAACACCGGCTCTGAGCCCTGGCTCGGGCCTGCGTCCCCATCTCCTCCCGCTGCTGCTTCAAGGAGCAGAGGCCCAGCTAAGTGACACCTGCCAGCAGGAGATCAGCAGCAAGCGAGCACCCACCGCTCCCCGGGGAGCTCCAGGCCAGCGCAGTGAGCCTTGTTCAGTGACCTCACCCGCACCCGTCCCCAGCTGACCCGTCCCCAGCTGACCCCGTTCCTCACCTGCACCCGTCCCCAGCTGACCCGTTCCTCACCTGCACCCGTCCCCAGCTGACCCGTTCCTCACCTGCACCCGTCCCCAGCTGACCCCGTTCCTCACCTGCACCCGTCCCCAGCTGACCCGTTCCTCACCTGCACCCGTCCCCAGCTGACCCGTTCCTCACCTGCACCCGTCCCCAGCTGACCCCGTTCCTCACCTGCACCCGTCCCCAGCTGACCCGTCCCCAGCTGACCCGTCCCCAGCTGACCCCGTTCCTCACCTGCACCCGTCCCCAGCTGACCCGTTCCTCACCTGCACCCGTCCCCAGCTGACCTGTTCCTCACCTGCACCCGTCCCCAGCTGACCCGTTCCTCACCTGCACCCGTCCCCAGCTGACCCGTTCCTCACCTGCACCCGTCCCCAGCTGACCCCGTTCCTCACCCGCACCTGGGTCCCAAGCTGACCCCGTTCCTCACCTGCACCCGTCCCCAGCTGACCCCGTTCCTCACCCACACCCGCCCCCAGCTGACCCTTCTGTCTCACACCCCGTCCCCAGTGTCCCTTCCTGTCTCACACCCAGTCCCCAAGCTGTGCCAGCACCCAGCTGACCCTTCCTATCCCTTTCTGTTCTGTAGGCCCTGGCATGGATTCACCATTGTCGACCCCGCCCTTGTCTCTGCTGCGCCCTGGTGGGGCTCCACCCCCACCCCCCAAGAACCCAGCCCGGCTCATGGCTCTGGCCTTGGCCGAGAGGGCTCAGCAGGTGGCCGAGCAACAGAACCAACAAGAGCAGGGGGGCACCCCACCTGCTCCCCACTCCCCTTTCCGCCGCTCACTGTCCCTCGAGGTGGGCGGGGAGCCTGTGGGGACTTCAGGGAGTGGGCCGCACCCTCCCTCCTTAGCCCACCCAGGCGCCTGGGCTCCAGGTCCTCCTCACCTCCCAAGACAACAGAGTGATGGGAGCCTGGTGAGAAGCCAGCGGCCCTTGGGGACCTCAAGGAGGGGTCCCAGAGGCCCTTCCCAGGCCAGTGTCCAGCTCAGGGCAAGTGGGGCTTACAGGGATGTTCCAGAGGTGGCAGCCCAGTCCCCGTGTTCTAACCCCAGTTTCTTCTCAACCCCCCGGGAGTGTCCGCCACCTTTCCTTGGGGTCACCAGACAAGGCTTGTACTCCCTGGGTCCCCCACCCTTCCCACCCAGCTCCCCAGCCCCCGTCTGGAGGAACTCTCTGGGTGCCCCCTCCGCACTTGACAGGGGAGACAATCTGTACTATGAGATCGGGGCAGGGGAAGGCACCTCCTTCTCTGGCCCCAGCCGGCCCTGGAGTCCATTTGGCTCCATGCCTCCTGACAGGCTCAATGCCTCCTATGGCATGCTTGGCCGGTCACCGCCCCTCCACAGGTCCCCCGACTCCCTGCTCAGCTACCCACCACCCTCCTCCTGCTTCCCGGCCGACCACCTCAGCCACCCAGTTTCCCAGCACATCGCCCGGCGCCCTCCCAGGCCGGAGCCTCTCTATGTCAACCTAGCCCTAGGGCCCAGGGGCCCATCACCTGCCTCCTCCTCCTCCTCCTCCCCTCCTGCCCACCCCCGAAGCCGTTCAGATCCTGGGCCCCCTGTTCCCCGCCTCCCCCAGAAGCAGCGGGCTCCTTGGGGTCCCCGTACCCCCCATCGGGTGCCCGGACCTTGGGGCTCGCCTGAGCCTCTCCTGCTCTACAGGGCAGCTCCACCAGCCTACGGGAGGGGAGGCGAGCTCCGAGGATCCTTGTACAGAAATGGAGGCCATAGAGGGGAGGGGGCTGGTCCCCCTCCTCCTTATCCTACACCCAGCTGGTCCCTACATTCAGAAGGACAGACCAGAAGTTACTGCTGAGTTAGGGCTAGGAAAGGACCCTCCCTGCCCCCTCCCCCGTTGGATCTTGGCCCAAGTCAGTCCTTTGTTTTGTATTTTCTTGAGCCTGCCACCCCACTCCAGGTTTCTAACTTTATAACTTGCGCTGATGTGGGTCCCTAACCCCAAATCATGTGTCCCTACCCTGAGTTGCAGGGTGTGACCATCCCCCTCCTGGGGGCCCTTGCACAAAATGGGGGGCAAGGCTGATATCCTGTCCTCCTCCTCCTCCCTCCAGGAGCCTCCAGCCCGTCCTGCTGTGTGTACAGGGGGTGGGGAGAGTCTCTTCTGCCCACCTCTCCCCATGCCCCCGATAAACCACCTGACAACATTAATGAATAAAATCGGCAGAGAGTCGGCTACTGGCGCCAATGAACGAAGAGGGACACACCGGGGACTTGACCACTTTCTTCACTTGGAGGCGGAACTCTGAGGGCGGGGGCAGCGTCTGCAGGGAGGAGTCTGGGCTATGAGGGGCTCGGCCTGGGCGCGTCTTCGAGGTGGCACTTATTCTGCAGCTCTGCCATGATCTCCTCCAGCAGATCCGTCCTGGGCAGCAGAGGACAGACAGACCTGGGCTTAGCTCTGGGCCGAGGGAGGGCCCCGGCCGCCCACCGCAGCCTGTGTGTCTCACTCCTGTAGACTGGAGAAGACACTGTCCTCTGTCAGCTCACTGTCCTCACTCTCAGGTCCCTGCAGGGGAAGGGTCCAGCTGCCACCGAGGCTCACAGCCCGGGCTGTGGGTGCTCATGCCTTCAGATGTCTGGGCACTGAAGCCTCTGTGTTGGTCAGCATGCAGGGGTGGACTCCCAGGGCCGGGGGACACAACAGCAGCCCACACGTGCGCCCCAGCTGCCCCCCCTCAGAGCTCTGGGTCCCCAGCACGAGGCTGGCTCCTGAATCAGAGCCTCGGGGGAAGCAGGGCTGCTCAGGGAGCCGGGAGACTTCTGGAGGCAGGGTTAGGGTTAGCAGTGGGTTAGGGGTATCCGTACTATTGACATGGGCTCCGGACAACAGAGCGGGCTGGGGCTGTGGCCGGGTCCCACACCAGAGCTGGGGTCTATGTGACTGGAGCTGGGACTGAGGCTGCTGCCTAGCGTCAAGCTACTGCCAGATTCCCAGGCTTCACTCTGTTGGACGCTGCTGTGGCCTGTGACGTCAGGAGGCTCCAGGGCCTGCAGAAAACAATGGCAAGGACCTGGCGTGCTTGCCTGGGTCCCCGCACCTTTGGTTACCGGTCACTTCCCCGCTTCCTACCTGGGAAGGGTCTGGGAAAGGGGGCACAAGCCTTGCTCTGGCCTTGTCTCCGGGAGTCACTTCACGGTGCGGATGCTCTGGGGGTACAGAGCGGAGGGCTAGAATCTGATGCACACCTCCACACAGTCCAGAGCACCCCATCATCGTCTGTACCTCCTAACCTGGCAGGGAACCCAGGGTGGCAGGAGACAGCGTCGTCCACTCTGTTGGGGAGCTGCCCTTGGCTGCTGAGTCCTGGGACGAGGAGGTGAGACGTGGTGACATGGGACCTCCCTGGGGTCCTAAGTACCCACGCCACCCTGACCTTTCTGTACCTTGGCCATGGCCTTTCGCAATAGGTACCGGCTGCTCTGCAAGCTGCCCCAGCGGTCAGCAGGTTCTAGGCCCAGCCCAGCTTGAACCAAGGCCTGATAGGGGGCTGGCAGCCGGGGGTCCAGGGGCGGGCTCTCACCTGCCTCCAGCTTAGCCTTCACCTCAGGCCCCTCTCCCCCAGCCCACGGCAGCTGTCCTGTGAAGAGGCACCGTGAGGTGACCCACACTAACGCGATGCCTTCGGGGGTGGGGTGTAAGTGTAGGGCGGGTCACTGACCAGTGAAGACTTCCTGGGCCAGGATGCAGAAGCTGTAGAGGTCTGAGGTAGTGGCTGGCACGTCACCACGGATCAGCTCGAGTGGTAACCATGGGTACAGCTCGGGGGGTGGGGGGAGCCCTGGACTTGGGCCTCCCTGGGGGTATTCCTGTTGCAGCCTGGGAGGGCGGGGCACAGGTCTGGTGAGCTAGCGGCTGCTGGGCGGCACACAGGGCAGACATGGGGGGTGGGCTCTCACCTGGGCTGCAGCCTGGGCTGGTTCAGTGGACGCCCGTGTTCTAGGTGGCTCACCTTAGCCAGGCCTGGCCGCACTAGCTGCACAGCATGGGAACTGAGGCCACCATGGGCCCAGCAGCGGGACTGCAGGAACAACAGGGCCTCCACCACCTGGAGCAGCAGAGAGCCGGGCAGCAGGCCGGGCAGGGCTTGGGGACCCTTCTCGTCCAGGCTTGCCGAATGCAGCAGGATATAAAGGGAGCCCAGACACACTGGCTCAAAGAGCAGGCTCAGTCTGGACAGGTCCTCCGAGGGGCTCAGCGCCATCAGCAACAGCAGGCCAGGGTGGTGCAGGATGCTGGGAGGGAGCAGAGCAGGTCCTTCCTTCACAATTGGCCCCAACTGCTCCCGACCACAGGCCACCTACCATGGGCCAGGGGGAGACTCACCGGCCACCATGCAGGAGACACCGAGATCCTCCATCTCAGCCTAGCTGTGGCAGAACCAGTGCTTACCCATACCAGCCTCCCGTCCCTCCCATCCCTTCCTCCTCTCTGGGTACCACTCTACGGGGGCCTGGGGGTGTGTGTGTGTCATTACAGCTGGAGGACTCTGGGATGGATGCTAGCACTGAGCCAAAGCTGGACTACAGCCCCGGCTGGTACCACATCCTCTTGGTTACGGACTGCTGCAGTCGGCGGTCAGCTGGGACCAGTAACCTGCAGTGCTGAAGGTCAGCCAGTAGCACATCAGGGTCCATTTCGGGGGTCTTCAGCTGCCGGACAGTAACAGGGTGGCCCTTCCACAGGAGGCTGGAGAATGGGCGGCAAGTGAGTGACATGGGTAGGATTTCGTTGGGATTCGGGAAGTGGGAGGCAGGGGCTCACCGAGGGCGTGGGAGGGGCTCTCACTTGGCCATGAGGGTATGAGAACTGCTCTCATAGGTGCGGTCAGGTTCACCCTGGCTTGGTACTAGCTCCTTGGGGTCTGCCAGTGGAATGCCCATTATCAGTGCCGGGGGCTGCAGGCTGTTGAGCTGAGCGAAGACAGGAGGGCATTGAGCACCAAGAGGATGCAAGGGTCCCTTCTCTCCCGTTCTCCCCTTCTTACCTGGCCGAACCCCAAGGCTGGGGTTTGGGGGGATCTCCTGATCTGCCCTTGCCTCAGTGCCCTGGGATAAAGGGCAGGCTGAGGGTAAGCTCGGGATCACTGGCTGTGCTGGTCCCGGAGGCTCAAGAGTGTGGACTCGTTACCTGTCTGCCTGTGCCAGCCTTAGTGGGTTCCGGGAGCCACACAGGCTGTGTCCAGAGCCAGCTCGTAACCGCCCGAGGGACACAGTGGGCACCAACTCCCCACCCTGCACCAGTGCTGACATGTGGGTTCGGCACCACTGCAACAGCTCCAGCACCTGGGTGGGGCACAGGGTTAGACTGAGAGCACCAGCTGGCCTTGGATGAGCCCGCTGTACCCTGGCCCGTCCGTACTCACCTCCCAACTCTGCTTGGCATCACCCTGCTCAGCCCAGTCTCGCGGTGTGCGGCCCTGCTGATCGCGCAGGCGCAGATCACCTCCTGCCTGCAGCAGGAGCCACAGTACCAGCGCTCGGCCCGAGAAGGCACCTGCGTGCATAGGCGTGCTGCCGTCAAGGCAGCGGCTAGGACAGAACCAGAGGCCAGGGTGGGACGGATGGAGAGAGGCGGCAGGGGGCGGGGGGAACAGGCACGAAGGGAGGTGGATGGGGCTGAGTCGGTGGACGGGAGGGGTCCTGGGAAGCCGGGGGTCAGTGCGGGAGGCACCAGAGGATCTTCGTGAGCTCCGGAAGGCACCGGAATGAGAACAGCCAGTGGGGAGTGAGACGAGGTTAACCCAGAGGCCAGGGAAGGCATCAGCTGCTGGAAGAGGACTTGTGCCCCAAGAGTGTAGGGGTCCTGGGGACCTGTCTACTCACTGGTTGGGGTTGGCGCCAGAGGCCAGTAGGAGGCGCACAGTAGAAGTATGGCCCAGTAGTGCGGACAGGAAGAGCCCCGTCTGCCCCGCGGAGTTCTCGCCATCTACCTGGACAACTGAGGGACAGCGAGGTGGAAGCCTGCGCTCACTCCAGATTCCTCCGGCCACCAGGCAACACCCATCTCACGTATTCCAGGCGAGCCTGGCACTCGCTACGTACCCAAGGGTGACCATGAACAAGCTCCCCATCGACCGAGGTACATGCCTGGCACCTCAGCAAAGGCTCCAGGCCATTCCAGCCTCCACAGTTTCTCTTTGGCGTGGTTCCTGTTCTGCCCTTTCTTCATGCATCCCACCCTAGCCTCTGGCAGCACACCTATGCCTGTAAGGATTCAGGCATTTTGCTGGCCTGCCTCTGTCACCGGGCAGGATGCACTCAGGCCGTACCCTGGTCAGCCCAGGGTTCCATGACTACTAGTCTGCACGCAGGTGCAAAGGACCCTTTAAAAGACAGACCCTGCCCACTTACGCTCTCTTTCCCCGTGGTTTCCCTGGGGCAGACAGGACTTTTTCTGCCTCCCTCTCCTCTTCTGCTCTCTGTCTCTGTGTGTCTTCACCTCTTTTCTCTTTCCTTCCCCCTCCCTCCCCTTATCTAATAAAACTTCTCCTTAAGCTCTGTCTGCCTGGCGTGTGTGTCCCCTGCCGTGGTTGGTCACCCTCGCCGGCCACGGAATCCACCAAGGTTCCCCACGCATATTATCGTTACAATGCCGCCTTGATCCCTGATTCCATGTATGTGTCCTGGAACTAGCGGCTCAATGCAGGGCACTGGGCGTAACTCCGCAGAGCTACAACAAGGGGAGACATCTGCCTGCCGTGAAAATATCCACCCTCCTGGCACCAGGGGTGTCAAATCAGGCGGAATGTGGCCATTCCAGAAACTCTGAACACCACATTTTCTGCCTCAAGTTTTACCCACAGCCTATCCATCATCTTCTGCAATGACATCTTAATTGGTTTTCCACTCTCGACCTGTGCCCCAAAGGCATCTTCCTAACACACAAATCATTGCCATGACTAGATCATCCCAAACAAGTTGTTCCAAAACAAAAATACACGGAGAGGGCAAGGCTTGTTTTACGAGGCCAGCCTGACTTTAATTCCAAAACTGGATAACAGTTTCCAGAACCAGAAAGTAAAACTCTAAATGGATTCCATTTATGATCGCACAGACAAAAACCTAAGTAACCCCAACTAATCCCCAGAAAGTAGGTGGGCTTCCACGTAAGAAAATCCATCGGTGTAATAGACCTTCATGGATTAAAGGACAAAATGTATATGCTCTGGACCGAAGACGCAGCTCAGTGGTAGAGCATTGCCTACAATCCCCCCAGTGAGGGGCTGGAGATGTGACTCAGTGGTAGAGGCCCTGCCTAGAATTCCCCAGTGAGGGGCTGGGGTGTGACTCAGTGGTAGAGCCCCTGCCTAGAATCCCCCAGTGAGGGGCTGTGGGTGTGGCTCAGTGGTAGAGCCCCTGCCTAGAATCCCCCAGTGAGGGACTGGAGGTGTGGCTCAGTGGCAGAGTGCTTGCCTGGCATAAGTCACTGGACTCTATACTTAGCACCAATGGAAAGAAAAAACATCACATTTTAACTTTGTAGATATGGAAAAAGTGAAATTAGTTAGGTGGTGGTGCATGCCTTTAATCCCAGCAGTTGGAGGCAGAAGTAGGCAGAGCCCTGCGAGTTCAGGGAAACCCCTTCTACAGAGTGAGTTCAGGACAGCCAGGGCTACACAGAGAAACCCTGTCTTAAAAACCAAAAAATAAAATAAAAAAGGCGAAATTTAGTACCTGTGTATAATTACTCAGAAAAAAACTCAGAAAGTTAGATGGAAATTAATAATTTCTTTTTTTTTTTAGACAGGATTTCTCTGTAGCTTTGGAGCCTGTCCTGGAACACACTCTATATAGACCAGGCTGGCTATAACTCCCAGAGATCCACTTGCCTCTGTCCCTGGAGTACAGGGATTACTAATTATTATTATAATTATAAACCCCAACAGCAAGCATAATACTTAGTACAAAACCAGATTTAATTATTTAAATATAAAAAATAAAGTGTGCCAAATGGCCACAGTGGCTTGGGAGTTTAGTCTAATACTTTAAGGAAAAAAATGCCTGGGTTATTTGTTTGTTTGTTTGTTTTGAGACAGGCTCCTCCTTTATCCTCTTTATCGTCACCCTCAGCCTCCTGAGGACTAGAATGACATGTACCATGATTGGAGGTTTTCTCTCTCTCCAACTAACAAAAACCTTGGGACTCAGCAAACAGTCACAGTTACCACGTTTAGAAAGGGGTCAGACACACAATCAACTTTAAAAAGGCAGTGAAATTGGGAAACCGCTGAATGCTTATTGGGTTATGAATTCCCTCCTTCTAATACAGTGGCTTCCCGTCAAACACACCCCAAGATCCAACAGCACCCTCATCTTCGTAGTGATACGTCAGGGAAGCTTTAAGTGAAATGTGTGAAAGCCTTTGCCATGTTTGGGTTAATCAGTAGACTGAGACAATGCTCTGAGGCTGTTTAAACCTTGAAGAGTTGAAGACTCCGGGGAGTCTGCCCTTGTTGCCACGGGAGAGCTTGCAGCGGCATGAACCTCCGTCCCAAGCCACTCCTGGAAGACCCGGAGGGTTGTCTGTGCTCATGGGCAGCAAGAGTAACATGACTTGGGTAGTTGGAACCTTCCCCAGCCCCTATTAACCTTGTAGCTGTTTGGATAAAGTAACTGCAGCAAACTAGCCGGGTGTCAGTCTTCTCTGAGAAGGCTGTACCCCTCTGTTCCTTCAGAGAAGGACAGCTTAGCATCTTGATGAGCTTCTCTCTCTCTATTGCGGCACCTGTGACCCAACATCAAACAATACATGTTCTCAGGCTCTCTCCGTTGTCTGGACCTGCCTCCTCTCCCCGAGTCTGGCTGTCCACACACATGTCTGGCTCACTTTGACGTCAGGGCCTTTGCCCAGGCCGTCGAGGCTTCCGAGGTTGCTTTGCTGGGCTTTCTTCAGAATGGCTTTACAGTGTGAGACTATCGCATCCAGGGACGCCCTTCCCACCGTGTTTCATTCCCAAAACGACCCAGAGGCCAGATTCACGCTATCTCCCATCTCTGACCGCAGATTTTTGGCACACAGCAGGTAGCAGCGACAACACAGGACCCTGACAGCCAGGTATGCACTAATCAAATTAAGTTGCCTCTCCAGGGTGCTGTCTAGTTCTTTTACCGCACCCGCACCACGCCGCGCCGCACCTCACCTCTGCGCAGGAGCCTGGCCAGGCCCCAGCAAGGACCTCCAGCCAGAGCTAGGCGATGGAGACGGCCCACCTGGCCATCTGGATCCCTCACGGAGCCCAGCTCGACGGGGAAGCGTGGGCCTTGCGAATGCATCTGCAGCTTGCTCCCGGGCATGGGGTCCTGAGGGCAGGGCGGAGGTGAAGGGCGAAAGTGGGGAGCGGTGAAGTTGAGAAGGTGATTCGGGGGGGGGGGCGTGTGATGGCAGAGGTGTCTGGGAGACCCGGCTAGGGAGCTGCACAGCGCCAGAGGCTAGGAGCCCACCGGGTCGGCAGGGGTAGTGGGAGTTTTAGGGCAGGGGTGGGCGTTCCAGGGAAACTCAAGAATCCGCTCTACGAAAGAGTCAGGAGGCTCTGGAGGGTGCTGGTGGGTTCTGTGGGTTGGGGAGGTCTTAAGTTTCCAGAACAGAGATGGGGCCTGAGTGAACGAGGGCCTCAACTGGGGCTGGGGGTGGAGTATGGAGAGAGAGTGGGTGGGCGAAGCCGAGGGTCCCGCAAGCTCCAAATAGCGGTAGGCCTGGGCTCCGGCCCAGAAGGCTTGGTGCCTACCGTTGGGCGCGATTGTGATTGTCACGTGACTGTGGCCCAGCCAAGGCAGTCTGCGCGGGAATCCCAGCGCCTGATTGCCTGCTGCTTCCTGCCATCTCGCACTTGCGCAGTAGCCTACCCTAAGAAGCAGCCTCGCCATCCTGCAGCGGGAAGAGACAGAGCTGTCCCGCTCGGTAGGTTTCAGCTGGTTCTCTCTCTCCCCTTGCCTGCTCCAGTGTCTCTTATTTTTGTAATCTTAATTATATGAATATGAATATTTTACCTACGTGCATGTAAGCGCCTAATACTCAGGGTTGCCAAAAGAGGGAATAGAATCCCCTAAAACTGGGATACAGAGCCACGCGGGCGTTATGAATCGAATCCGGGACGTCTAGAAAAGCAGCCAGTGCTCTTAACTGCCCAGCCTTCTCTCCCAGCCGCACCCTCTTGGACCCTTCTGAATCTCAGCTCTTCATTCCCACCCATGCTCAGCCACCCCGCGACTGTTTCCAGTCTCTTCCCTGAGCCCCATACCCGAGGGTCCTTCGGGATGCCTCCCTTTAGACGTCACCCGGACTGTCGAGCCCACATGGCCTTGGCCTCATGGCTATCCCCACCCTGCGCTTTCTCCTGGGCCCGGCCACCTCCCTCCAGTCCCTGACCTGTGACTCACTCCCTAAGCCCCCCTCCTTACCATCCCAGTCCTCAATCTTTCCTAGCTTCTCTAGGCTCTGAAACAGGTAGGGACCACAGGAAGAAGACAGAAGACAGGTTCTGGGTCCTTAACCTGCTGCTGGTTTAAACACGATGTGCTCCCCGCCACCTCCCTCCTGGCTTTTCTTAACAGCACTTGGAACACAAGGGTACACACGCACGCATGCATGCACGTACGCACACACGCACACACGCACGCACGCACGCACGCCCGCCTGAGAGATGTCTCACTAGCTACCGTGGGCTGACCTTGAATTTACAACCTCCAGCTTCAGTTCCTAGTGCTGGGATTTTAGGCTTACATTACCGCACCCAGCAAACACGGACTCTTACCTGGACACTGTAGATAATTGAGAGATGAGTGGGTGGCGGGTGAAAGCCTTGGCGTCTCTGCCCTTATGTGAGTGACCCCTTCCTATTTCAAACCTTGAATGAGATTACTGACTCAACTCTGCATGTAGATGCGTTGTTCCTTTGACAACTGGGTATTCAAGACTATAATACAGGATGAACATGGCCAGTGGTTCATTGGAGTGGGTGTCTGTTTCTTTTAGCCCGTCCCTGCATTTTTCTGAAAGCTCTAAAAGTCCTCTAGCTCTGCCATCAACCCAGGATATCTATGCAAGTCGACCCCAGTAGCTTCTACACAGACCCGGCCATGCCATGTATTAACCTACTTAAGTACAAACCAGGTTGCTTGTGTACAAAAATGAGAGGCAGGCAGGGGAGATTGCATAAGGCAGTAACTGGCCTTAAAATCACTATGACCCCCTGTGAGTTCGAGGCCAGACTGGTCTACAAAGTGAGTTCCAGGACAGCCAGGGCTACACAGAGAGACCTTGTCTCGAAAAACCAAAACATAAAAACCAATACTCCTGGTCCTACTACCTCCACCTTCCAAATGCTGGGGTCCTGACTCAAAGAACAGCTTTCAAACCAAAACCCATGACTGATGAGTAGTTAACAAACCCTCTCCCATGACCCTCTCCAGCCAAGTCAATAGAACTCTGACACCCTTTGTGTTGAGTGAGCAGTTTGGTCTCCTGTAGTCTGGGCTGGCTCCATTCAGTTTTAGATGGCTGTCTCACGGTCTGCATCAAGGAACTTGGCCTCATTTGGCCATAGTATGCAGCTTGGTCCCATTCCTACAGCTTGAAGCAAGAGACCACTGCCTGGTGTCACTGCCTTCCTTTGGCCTACCCTCCACATAGTAGAGAGCCTGAGGCTCGTCTCCTCTGCCTGTGAGCCCCATGATTCCTTGATTCTTGGCAAGTGTTCTACCAATGATCCTACTGACAAGTCCTCAGCTCTTGTTTCTGTTTTTGTGATAGAGTATCACTATGCAGTCCAGGCTAGCCTTGAACCTGTCATACTGCTGCTTGTGCTTCTGTGGTAGTTTGAATGTAGCTGGCCCCCATAATCTCATAGGGAGTGGCACTCTTAGGAGGTGTGGTTTTGCTGGACTGATACGGCCTTGTTGGAGGAAGTGTGTCACTGTGGGGGTGGGCTTTGAGGTTTCCTACGCCCAGGATACCACCCAGTGTCTCAGTCGACTTCCTGTTGCCTGGAAGATGTAGGACTCTTGGCTCCAGCACTAAGTCTGTCTGCATGCCACCATGCTCACCCTCGTGATGATAATGAACTGAACCTCTGAAACTGTGAGTCACCCCAATTAAATGTTTTGTTTGTAAGAATTGCTGTGGTCATGGTGTCTCTTCACAGCAATAGAAAACCCAAACTAAGACAGCTTCCTAGTGCCACACTTTTTTTGAGACAGCATCCCTCACTGGGACCTGTAACTCACTAATTGGGCCAGGCTGGCCAGCCAGCACCTGCTTGTCTTAGCCTGTACCACTACATTATGCTTGGAATTTCATACGGGTGCTGGAGATTAAACTCAGGTCTTCATGTTTTTGTGAATCAGACATTTTACTGGCAAAAACATTTCTCCAGCCTGCTCATCAATGCTTATTTGATGGGGGAAGTCCTTCTGTGTATATGTCTGTCTTATTGGATGATAAATAAAGCACTGTTGGCCAATAGGGAAGCAAGATAGGTGGAACTAGGAGTCAAGGAGGATTCTGGGAAATGTAGTCAAGAGTAGACAGTCACCACGTAGGATGCCAGAGGAGTAAGAGGTCTGAACCCTTTCTCCGGTAAGTGAAGACCATGTGGAAATACTCAGATTAGCAGGCATGGGTTAATAATTAAGTCAGAGCTAGCCAACAAGAAACCATAGCAAACGGCCAACAGCTTCATAATTAATATAGCATCCTGCGTGTTCATTTGGGACTGATGCGGCTATGGAACCAGGCTGGCAGGAAGAATCTCCTTACACTTAGTAATTAAAGAGATGATCCACCATTCCTGGGCACATGGCCTTGGCCCGGTCTTTTTTTTTTTTTAATTAGAAACAAGCTTGCTTCATATGTCAATCCCAGTTTCCTCTCCCTCCCCTCCTCCCCTGCCTCCCTCACCAGGCCCCCCCCTACCCAATCCCCACTCTGATCCCCAGGGAGTGTGAGGCCCTCCATGGTGGATCTCCAGAGTCTGTCATTTTGTTCAGGGCAGGGCCTAGGCCCTCCCCCCAAGAGTCCAGGCTGAGAGAGCCTCCCTCATTGTGGGATGGGTACCCAAAGTCCATTTGTATGCCAGGGATAAACACTACCCAAGGCCCCATAGATTACCTAGGTCTCTTCACTAACACCCACATTCAGGGGGTCTGGGTCAGCCCCACGCTTTCCACACAGCCATCAGACTGGAGTCTAAGAGCTCCCTCTTGTTCAGGTCAGCTGTTTCTGTGGGTTAAACCAGCCCGGTCTTGACCCCTATGCTCATCAGTTCTCCCTCTCTGTCACTGGATTCCAGGAGTTCAGTTCAATGTTTAGCTGTGGGTGTCTGCCTCTGCCTCCATCTGTCACTGGATGAAGGTTCTGTTCCCCAGACTCTCTGGCAGTGGGACTGCAGGCTGGTACCTTGGCCCAGTCTTTCGTCACTAGTGTCTACTCTTCAGCTGGGTTATTTATCTCATCCTCTGAGATGGAAAGAATTCTTGAACAGATCCCTGACCAAGTCCATTGACGGATAGATGACCTCAAGTTATTATCACCCTGAGTCATTGGAAGACACACACACACACACATACACTCTCTCTCTCTCCTCCCTTTCTCCTCCTCCTCCTCCTCCTCCTCCTCCTCTCACTGGCTTGGAACTCATGACCCTGCTGCCCCAGCTTCCCAAGTGCTAGGATGACAGGAATGTGCCACCACTCAGGACTAAAGATCTCTTTAGTTTCAGACATGCCCCACCTATCCAAGTTCTGTTGGCCAAGGCCAGGATCAGCCCTGATCCAGTAGGCAGCTTCAGGGAGGTACAAGCAGAGGCAGAGTCTTGGGACCTTTATTGAGCACGCGGCCCCGATGGTGCTGATGGAGTAGCCCTTAGACCTTCCTTCCCAGCAGCCTACGCCACAGTTCTTGGCTGAGCAGCTCTTGCTCCCTGCGGACACCCTGCAGCACACTCCGGTTCTCCTGGGCTCTCCGAATCAGGTAGGGAATCACCTCCTCCAGGCAGCCATAGGGGATAGACTTATATACCACATAGCCCGCCTGTCCTGTTGGGAAAAGTATTGGCAGAGTGTGGACAAGAGAGAGTCAAAGAGAGAGAGACAGACAGACAGAGAGAGAGAGACAGACAGACAGAGAGCAAGCGAGAGAGAGACAGAGAGAGAGAGAGAGAGAGAGAGAGAGCGAGAGAGAGAGAGAGAGAGATGTTCCTGGGCATCAGCAGCAAAAGCTACTTCCCCCTGCTCAGAACACGGCAGACTAGGCAAGTCTGTCGTGCAATAACTCGTTACTAAAAACACTGTCCAGCAAACACTTAGAAGAAACAGTTTTCCTCTTCTCCCTCTGTCCATCTTCCCAGTAATAAAGCACCTTTGTCACCCTCAATGCCCCACAGAAGGAAAGGAATCTGGCCTAAGGCCTTAGGGAGCAGCAGTCAGGACCCCAAACAACAGGAAATATGGCACCATCAACAAGAACCAGCAGGGGCCAGGAAAGGAGACACAGGGCACAGCCCTACGAGGGCCCCAAAGATGTCCGGAAGGAACCAGAGGGTGAGCCAGCCACAGGCGAGAGAGGGGTTAGATAATGGTTGCAGACAGCAGGAGGGATCCAGGTGAGAAGGAATGGAAGGGCGGGGGTGGGGGTAGGGATGGAGGGATGAGCCGCTCACACACCTAGTGCCAGGGAGACGTGGTCACACATGCCCAGAAGTTGTCCAAAACAGACGGGGCCGTCCGGGGGGATGCCCAGCTCCCACATGCTGCGGAAGGGGTCACATCGATTCAGACAGGCAGTGGCTAGAACAAGTCAGCCACCCCAGAAGTCAAATGTGGGGAGAAGAGCAGCTGGCCTGCTGGACCCCCAGTTCCACACCCACTGATTCAACTGGGGATCAAGCAAGGGGTAGATCAGGTCTGTGCTAAAACCCTGCATAGGTTTCCCCCCTTAGACTCAGTCTCGGTGTTACAAATAAGCTTGGTGACTGCAAGCATAAAGGAGGGTGGTCACGGGTCACATGCAAAAACTCAAATAGTCCGTCATCCGATATGAGGGATTTGAGCATCTGAAATTTTGGTTTCCATGGAGACTGGTCCTAGAACACATTTTCACAGATTCTGAGGAACGACTCTCTCCCCAAACTCAATGGTAAATAACCACTGTAGGACTGGAGAGAAGGCTTAGGGGTTAAATGCACTGGCTGCTCTCCCAGAGGACCTGAGTTGGACTCACAGCACCCACATGGCAACTCAACACCCATCTGTAACTCCAGCTCCAGGGGCTCTGATGCCCTCTTCTGACGTCTGCAGGCACCAGGCAAGCACACGGTGCCCACATTATACATGCAGGCAAAATGCCCAAATGCTAGCATTTTAAAAATAAAAATAAAACACAATAAAGAGCCTCTGCTTTTGCAGAGAACCCCAGTTCAGTTCCCAGCACCCAAGTCAGGCAGCGCACAACTGCCTGCAACTCCAGTTCCAGAGAGTCTGGCGCCCTCTTCTGGCCTCCTCTGGTACTTGCATTCATGGGTGCTCACATAGACACACATATGAAAAATCAAATCAAATCAATCAATAAATAACGACTCTCATGAGCTCTCTTGAGACTTCTACCCATCGAGCCTCAACTGCTCTTGGGAGCCCTCCATCCTCCCTGGGTCTCGGTAAATAAGGGACAATGCCCTGCCACATCTGAGCCGACAGGACATACATAGGTATAGACGGGTTGATTTTTTTTTTTTTTTAAGATTCTTGCTATGTAACCTGGGTTGGGCATCGGTTCTTGATCCTCCTGCCTCAGCCTTCTGAGGACAGCAGGTGTGTATCGTCACGCCAGGTCGGGATTCAGTTTTTTTTTTTTTTTTTTTTTTTTTTTTTTGGTTTTACGAGACAGGGTTTCTCTGTATTGTTTTGGAGGCTGTCGGTCCAGCCCGGCCTCGAACTCACAGAGATCCTCCTGCCTCTGCCTCCCGAGTGCTGGGATTAAAGGCATGCGCCGCCACCGCCCGGCTTGGGATTCAGTTTTTTTGACGTCCCCTCTGCATACTTCCCCACTGTCCCCCACTCACCACCCGTTCCCGTCTTCTTAGGGGCGCTGGCTTCCCCGCCCTCAGCCTCATACCGCTTGGTCGCCTGGCGAACGGATTCTTCGTTGTGGGAAGCCACCATGAGGTGGCACGGGGGCCCGTGACGGGACACGCGGCGCAGCACCAGCTCCAGACAGCGGCTGTAACTGAAGGGAGAGGCTCTGCTCAGCTCCTCTGGGCAGAGGACCAACGGGTGGGGCTCCTGCCCCCGCTCTGTTCTCCGTAGCACGGTGAGTTCCCGTAACCGTAGTCAGGACACACCCCCGAGATGTTTGGCACAGAGCCCCGTGGCAGGTGACAAGCAAGTGAAAGATTGCGTTGTACACGTCTGGTGGTGCAGCTCTGCCATCCCAACTGCTCTGGACAGCGAGGCAGGAGGACTGCAGGTTCAAAGCCCGCCTGCCCTACAGAGTGAGTTCAAGGTCACCCTGGGGACTTAGTCTGTTTCACAAACAAAAGTAAAAAGGGGGCTGGGAATATAGTTCAGTGGTAGAGCCCCTGCCTAGAATCCCCCAGTGAGGGGCTGGGAGTGTGGCTCAGTGGTAGAGCCCCTGCCTAGAATCCCCCAGTAAGGAGCTGGGGGCGGGCTCAGTGGTAGAGTGACTGTCAAGCTTAGGCAATCTGCTTTCCTCTAAAAGAAGAGTTACATGCTATTATTTAAATTTGAGTGTGTGTATGTGTGTGTGTGTGTGTGTGTGCACGTCTATGTGTTCATGTGCACATGTGTCCATGTCTGGGTTGTGGCCCAAGGCTGACATTGGGTGTCCTTCTCGATGGATCTCCACTTTATTTAGTAAGACAAGGCCTCTCACCGAACCCACACTCATCACTTCTGGCTAGTCTAGCTAGCGGCTTGTCATCCTGCCCACTCCCATCTTCTGTGGCTGCCTCGCAAGCCTAGGATGACAGGCAGCCGCCACACCTGCTCAGCTTTCTGTAAGGGCTCTGGGGATCCGACTTGCAGCCATTGTGTCTGTGAGAGAAGCCCTCTACCCACCGCGCTGCCCCCCCCCACACCTTGTGGTTTTTTTGTTTTGTTTTGTTTTTGGAGACAGGGTTTCTCTGTATCGTTTTGGAGGCTGTCCTGGAACTCACTCTGTAGACCAGGCTGGCCTCGAACTCACAGAGATCCGCCTGCCTCTGCCTCCCGAGTGCTGGGATTAAAGGCGTGCGCCACCAATGCCCGGCCACACCTTGTGTTTTGAGTCAGGTCTCTCACTGGGACCTGGGGCTCGCTCATTAGGTTGGGCTTGTTGGCCAATGAGCCCCTGTCTGTCTTTTCAGCACTGGGATTGCAGCAGCAACAAGTGTGTGTGCACGGGTGTGTCCCTGCACACACATGTGTGCTCCCTGTGCACGCTCAGGTAGAAGGCAGAGGTCAGAGCTGGGCATCTTCCCCCAGCTCTGTGCACCTCACTGTGTCGCTCACTGAACCCAGAGTCCCTGTTTCAGCTGCATTGACCCCCAGTGAGCCTATGGTGCCCGCTCGTCTCCACAGCAGAGCGCTGGAGTCATGGGTGTGTCCCGCGACACGCGGTCCTTGTGCAGCAAGCGCTATACCCATTGTGGCGGTTTAAGAGGAAAATGGCCCCCACAGGGAGAGGCACCAATGGGAGGTGTGGTCTTGTTGCAGGAAGTGTGTCACTGTCACATGCTCTAGCCGTGCCCTGTGAGTCGTTCTGCTTCTGGCTGCCTGTATACCAACACGCAGCAGCTACCTCTCTAGAATCACAGCTTCCTGCACGCCGCCGTGTCCTGCCGTGACGGTAATAGACTGGATCTCTGAATTGTGAGCCAGCCCCCGTTAAATGCTTTCCTTCATAAGCGTTGCTGCGGTCGTGGTGCAACAGGAACCCTACCTACGACACTCACTGAGCTGCTCCCCTCCCTTGAGACGTACTGATATTAATATTATCTACTATTTCTCCTATAGCCTCTCAGCCCTGTCCCTACCTTCGGCTAGTGGCCTCATAGTCAGGCTGAGTGCAATCTTCCTTCCCGTGGAGCTGCGTCATGGCTCTCTCCTTTTCCAGGTAGGCTCCTCGAACCAGCTTCACCCCGAACGCCAGGCCCGCCTTGTGTGCGGCCTCAGCGTCCCGCTCCAGCCGTTCCTGAGTTTCCTGCAGGGTGCACAGGCTGGCTCAGGGGGACCGGGGTGCTGAGTCCCCACCCACAGCCCTTTAGGGAACACCACCCACCTTCAGGTAGGCCTGGTAAGTGTTCCACACCCAGGGTCCGCCTTCCTCGGGTCTGTTCCAGCGCAGGGCCAGCGCAGCCACCAGCAGGGACAGGGCAGGGTTGATGAATGTATACTCAGCGTCCACAAGGAGCCTCACATGCTGGGCCCGGGCATGCTGAGGGGGAGGGAACGACGTCAGGGCCAGCAGTGTCCAGGGGGCGGGGAGTCAGGCCACCCCACCCATGTGTTACCTGGGCCACGTGGTGCAGGCGGCTGAGAGAGGCCTGCAGGTGCTGATTCTGATCTGCACTGAGGTAGGAGAGCCGGAGGTTCTAAGGGGCACCGGGGAATGGGAGACTGCTCAGGACTGCTGGTGGTCCTCCAGGACCCGAGTCCTCTCTCCCACCAGCAAGGTGTGTGTGTGTGTGTGTGTGTGTGTGTGTGTGTGTGTGTGTGTGTGTATGTAGTTTGTGGGAAACAGATAAGTGACTTCCAGGGTGTGGTGACACATGGCTGCAATCTTGCGATTTGGGAAACTGAGGCAGCCTGCGTTAGTCTATCCAATGAGAAAGGAGAGGGCCAGTGAGACCGTTCAGTGGCTGAAGATACTGCTGCTAAGCCGGGTGACCCGGATTCATGTCTCAGGACCCATGCGATGGAAAGAGACAACTGACTCCTGGAAGCAGTTCTCTGACCTCCAACACAAGCTTTGTCATTCGTAGGCACACACACAACAAACAAACAAACAAACAAACAAACGTAGTGGAATTTTGAAAGGTAATAGAAAAAAGAGAAGGAACAGGGAGAGAAAGCCAGGGTGAGACCCAGTCTCAAAATAAAAATAAAACCACCTCATAAAATAGGCATGGCAGTGCTCGTCAGGAGATGGAGGCAAGAAGATCGGGAGCTAAAGGCTATCCTAGGCTACAAAGTGAGTGAGTGGCCAGCCTGGGCTATATGAGACCCAACTTTAAAAAAAAATTAAAAAAGAAAAGATCAAACAAAACCAAAACACATCCTCAAACTAATGGGAAATTCTGCAGTGATGGGAAGTCTCCATGTACAGAAGGGGATTTGTGTGGTCCTACTGTGTGTATTTGCTGAAGTACATCAAGGGGTAGGTACCTTTAGCCCCCCCCCCAACTCATGTGCAGAATTTACTGTGTAGCCAAGGATGATCTCCAACTTCTGCTCCTTCTCCTTCTGCTTCCCAAGTGCCGGGTTTATAGGTGTTTGTAACCAAACCTGCTTTGATTTGTAGTTTTCATTCAACATAAATTTTTTAACTCAAAAGGCAAAACTAGTTTAAATAATAAAGAAGCTCTAACCCGAGCACTCAACAGCCTGAAGCACCAATGTCAACCATGGAAACGCATCACAAAGCAAGATGAATTCGTGGGTGGATAGGTCAGATTGTCAGCAGATCCTGTTGTCCCTCCCTAATGATAGGCTCTGTTTCCATGGATTCAGCCCGTGGCAGGTCAAACATATTCATAAAAGCATTGCAGAGCCAGAGAGACCCTCTCCTGCTTTACCGGAATTCAGTTCCCAGCATGCATGGCAGGAGGCTCGCAATGGCAAACAACTTTACCTTCTGGAGATCTCCTGCCCTCTTACAGTCCCCGAGGGCACTGCACACGTGTGGTGCATACCCAACGTAACTAAAAACCATTTAAATAGAAAAACCCCGTATCTGCACTGAGCACAGACAGCCGTGGCCGTCATTACTCCCCGAGACGGTTAGCACAGTCAGCTTGACAGAATCTAGAGTCCTCTGGGAGACCAGGGCTCTGGGCATGTCTGTGGAGGATTATCTTGAGTTGAGGTGGGGGATTCACCCTCTGAGGTGGCACACTTTCCTTGGTGGGGATCCTGATCGTACAGTGGAGAGAGGGGGCTGAGCAGCAGGATGCTGGTGCTGCGGATCTCTGCTTTCTGATCCTAGATGCCGCGTGACCAACTTCGTCAACCTTCTGCCGCCCCGATTTCCTCCCTTGGGTCTTATCACAGCACCAGGAAGAGACACTTAGACACATCCTTATGAACGCTATAGAGGGACTGCTTACGTAGTGATTATGCTGCATTCGGTACTACAAGAGGATTAAAGTGCCCGGGGGAGTGTGCATAGCTTACAGGCAAATACCATGACATTGTGAGCGTTGGACTTGAGGACCCTTGGATTTTGGTATTCGACTCACATTGGCAGGTATGTGCTGCGATGGTCGCTGAACAATGAACTTTTTACTTTTTAAACGTTTTCCTTGCAGTGCTGAGGATAAACCCAGGACATTGTGAATACTAGGCAAGTTCTCTATTACTCATCCACACCCCCAGCCCCTCACTGGGGGATTCTAGGCAGGGGCTCTACCATTGAGTCACACCCCAGCCCCTCACTGGGAGATTCTAGGCAGGGGCTCTACCACTGAGCCACACCCCCAGCCCCTCACTGGGGATTCTAGGCAGGGGCTCTACCACTGAGTCATGCTCCCAGCCCCTCACTGATATAGTCTAGGGAAATTCTACCCCCAAGCTCCATCTGTAGCTCTTAGTTTTTATTTCTTATTTATTTATTTTTGAGACAGGATATCACTATGTAGCCTAGGCTGGTCTTATATACTTGAGATCTTAGATGTGCATAGCTATGCCTTGCTCTGTAACATTTTGTTATGGAAAAATTTCAAACACATAGAACAATAACAAAGAAGTCTGGTGTAGTTGCCAATGCCTATAATCCCAGAACTTGAAAAACCGAGGGGGGGGATTTGTGTGTTCCAGAGCTGGCTGAGCTGCATAGTGAGGTCCTATCTCAAGGAATAAGTTAGAAAAATGTACACCCCAAAACAGTGCCAAAAATCTCAACAGGACTCCTAGCAGTGGGGATGAGGGCGTCTGACTCTTTTGCTTGCTCTTGGGACTCTTTTCCTCCTACTGGGCTGCCTTGTCCAGCCTTGATATGAGGGTTTGTGCCTAGTCTTATTGTAACTTGTTATGCTGTGTTTGTTGAGATCCCTGGGAGACCTGCTGTTTTCTGAAGGGAAAAGGAGAAGGAGGAAGGAGGAAGGTCGAGGGAGTAGGGAGAGGGGAGGTGTGTGTGGGGCAACTGGGAGGAGTGGGGGAGGGGAAACTATGAGAGGGGATGTTCAGGGCCATAGCTGCTTTAAAAAGCTAAAAAGGAAAAAAAATCTAAATAGGAGCTAAGGAGATGGTTCAGTGGGTAAAGTTCTTGCTGGGTGGGTGTGAGGATCTGAGTTCCAGTTCCCAGCACCCACATAAAAACCGAGGTGAAACAGCACATCTGTAACCCTAGTGCAGTTTCAGGGATGGAGGTACAGGGATCCTGGGTGCCCCCTGCCAGCCAGTGTAGCCATTATAGTAAGCTCCAGGTTCAGTGACAGACCGCCTGTTAAAAAATAAAACGGGTTTGCAAGTATTTTATTGAGTATTTTTGCATCAATGTTCATGAGGGAAATTGGTCTATAGTTCTCTTTCTTAGTTGTGTCTTTGTGTGGCTTGGGTATCAAGGTAATTGTAGCCTCGTAGAAAGAGTTTGGCAGTGAGCCTCCTGCTTCTATAGTGTGGAATACTTTGACGAGTATTGGAATGAGCTCTTCTTTGAATTTCTGGTAGAATTCTGCACTGAAGCCATCTGGGCCTGGGCTTTTTTTTGTTTGGGAGACTTTTGATGACTGCTTCTATTTCATTAGGGGTTATAGGTCTGTTTAGATTATTTATCTGTTCTTGATTTAGTTTTGGCAAGTGATATCTATACACACAACTAAGCACTGAACTGAACCCAAGGAACCCAGTGACAGAGAGAGAGGAATGATGAGCAAATTGGCAAAGAATGGGCTGGCAAAACCAGCAGAGACAGCTGATCTGAACAGGGGAGTGCTCTTGGACCCCAGACCGACAGTGGGGAGGCCAGAATGGGACTGATCTGGACCCCCCAAATGTGAGTGTCAGTGAGAAGGCCTGGACAACCTATGGGGCTCTGAGCTGTGGATCAGTGTCTATCCCTGGTATACAATCTGTCTTCATGTGCCTATAGCACAAAGAGAGATGCTCTCTCAGCCTGGACTCTTAGGGGGAGTGCCTTGACCCTACCAAGAGTAAAATGATAGACCTAGACATCCCCTATGTGGAAGGATTTGGCAATAGGGTGGGAGGGAGGGTGGAAGGGGAGTGCGGGAGGAGGGGAGGGAGAGGGAGCTGGGATTGACATGTAAAACAAGCTATTTAAAATTAAAATAAAAAAAATAAAACGGGAAAGCCAGGTGTGGTGGCCCACACCTTTAATCCCAGCACTCAGAAGTTGGATCTTTGTGAGTCTGAGGCCAGCCTGGTCTACAGAGTGACTTCTAGGACAGCCAGGGCTATGTAGAAAGACCCTGTCTCAAAACAAACAAAAAGACTGAGAGTGATAGAGGAAAATACTTGTTTCCAGCCACAGACACACACACACACACACACACACACTTGCAGGTGCACACACAAAAATAGGATATTGGAATAATACAAAGGAATGAATGAATGGAAGAATGAATAAAGTAAGATCTTCATCAGAGTCAGGCATGATGGCAAACATCAGTAATCCCAGGACTGGAGAGGCTGAGGAGGGTTCCAAGTTCTTAGGCTACGTGCTAAGATCTTGCTTCAAAATAGACAATAGGAAAATCTCACTGGTCTCATCAGAGTTTACATGCAGCAAGTACACACCAGTGTAGCTGCTGATTGACTATGAAAAAAAATAAAACCAGACTCAATGGCACACACACACACATGCACACTTTCAGGTGCACATGCAAAAATATCTCTAGCAACTTGGGAGGCAGAGGCAGGAGATCAGGAGTTCAAAGTCATCCTTGGCTATACAGAGAGTTCATGACCAGCCTGGCATATGTAAGACCCTGTCTTAAAGACAAAACTACCACCACCAAAAACAAATGTATAGTCCTTTTTAAGTTATGCGCGTGGATGTTTTTGCCTGCATGCTTGTACGCACACTGCAGGTAAGCCTGGTGCCCGTTGCAGTCAGGATGGAGGGTTACATTCTCCGGAACTGGAGTTATGTATGGGTGTGACCCACAGTGTGGGCTGGAAACCTGTGTCTTCTGCAAGAGCGACAATTGTCCTTAACTGCCGAGCCGTCTCTCCACAATGCCTTTTCCAGACGAGTCTCACTGAGTAGCCCAGGCTTACCTCGGCGACTTGATTCTCCCGTCTCCTCTTCCAAGTGCTGGGGTTACAGGTGTGCACCGCCACACCCAGCAACCGACCAAATACTCGTGTCCTGTCCTCCGTGGAGAAAGTGCCGCCGCCGCCCTGATCCCTCCTCTGGGAAGCTCCTCACCCAAGCCCTAGAGCCCCCGTGTGACCCATATTCATTCACTGCAACCATATCCACCTCCATTTTCCTTACCTGGCCTGAGTCCATGGCTTCTGCCAGCCTCTCGGGGCTCAGCTGCGAGGAGCCTGCTGGCCTTTGGATCCAAGCCGATAGCTCCTTCTGTGATGGGGTGGTGGCTGGAGTGGTGAGGGTAGCCTGGTGGGCGGCCACACCTGCGTCCCCACCCCATCTCACTTGTCACTTACGCAAAGCCGGGTGCTGGCTAGTGCTGTCACCTTCAGCTGCATGAGGCTGTTTCTGGCTGGGCCACGGGTGTCCACGAGAGCTCGCGACAAGTCCACACAGCGCAGCATGGTTCTGAGGTTCCCCTCATACCAGGCTTCACTGCCCGGCCAGTGGAGGTCAGCTTCCAGAGCCTCAGAGCCCCTTCCTGCCATCACCCGCGCCCCCCTTGGACCTGCCTCTCTCTACTTACCTGGTCTTGGCAGTGGAGTCTGGTTCCTCCTCTGTGGGCACTGCCAGCAGGGGAAGGAGTCCCAGGGCCTGCAGCTGCTGGACACAATCCCTCACCTCCTCTGCTGTCTCCCCGGCCACAAACTGCCCGTAGATGGACGCTCGGAGAAGCGTGCGGGAGAGCCGAGAGCCCAGGAGGCGCTGAGACCAGGCCTGAAACTGGGTGACCCGGAGTGAGGGCTCAGAGCCAGGTCTGGGCAATTTCCTGGCCATTCCTCATGCCTACTGCTCACCGCTAGTCCATGGGTGACCAGGGGGGGCCAGGCGCACACTCGAAGCACCAGCAAAGCCCGTGCCAGCTCCGCTGTTCCCTTGAGATGGAAGGCACCGCCATCAAAACGCAGGGGCTGCCAGCCTCCTGCAGAGGGTCTGGAGCGGCAGCAGAGTGACAGAGGTGTCCAGAGCATCGCTAAGTCACACCGCACCAGGGGCCGACGGCAGCTCTACCAAATGCCCAGCTAGGGGGCAGTGACTGATTAACTGGGCAGATCTTTAGGATAGCAGGCTCTTTTGGGGGAGTGGTTAATAATTAATGGTGAAGGACAGAGGTCAGAATAACAGTAAGAGGACAGGTAACCCCCCCCCAGTGACAGCCCCCAGCAACCTTCAGCCTGGCAGGACAACAGATCTCAGGCGCCCAACTTGCGCCGCTGAGTGAGCAGCTGGACCCGAGAGGGGGAATTCAGGTTCAAGTCAGTGGGGCTTTGCAACCTCCTCTCTTTTGCTGCAATTGTTTTGACTCACAGGGAGCAGCCGTGTAATTATTTCATACACTTAAACTGCACATCACAGCCCTGCCGTCCATGCTAAACATGTAGTCTACAGACCTTGAACTTGAGCGTTGGGAGAAAATGTCTGTAAGGACTCTCCGAATGAAAGCAATCCGAATGTCCACCAAATGGGACTGGATGAGGACATCGAGGTGTACGAAGAGGAACTCAGGCAATGGACTACTGTACAGCAATGAAAAGAAGGAGCTACTCATAATCTGCCACATCTTGTTTCTATTTTTAAACTTATTTGTACACGCACACACACACAGACACACACACTTGTTTAGCCTGCACGGACTTCTGAGTGCTACATGCATGCAGTGCCCTCAATGGCCATAAGAGGGCATCAGATCCTCTGGAGCTGGGTCTACCTAAGGTTGTAAGCTGCTACGTAGGTGCTGAGAATCTAACTTCAGTGCTCTGCAAGAAATGCTTTTAACTACCAAGATTTTAAATATCGAGGCAGCTCTCCAGCCCCTAATCGTTCATTTTTAGATGTTTTTATCTACCATGCTGTTAGGTTTGTGCTGCAAAGCCCTTTCATCCAATGACATGCCTGCCCTTAATTACATGTGTGTCTGTCTGTCTGTGTACATGAGTGCAGGCACCCACTAAGACGCCTCAGATCCATCTGGAGCTGGAGTTATAGGCCATTGTGAGTCAACTGACATGCGTGTTGGGAACTGAACTTAGGCCCTCTGGAAAAGAAACCAGGGCTCATAATCACTGAGCCATCTTTTGAGTCCCATTAGGGTACTACACAAACAAACAAACAAACAAAATACAGCCTCACTGCTGGCTTTGAACTTACAGAAATTCTCCTGTCTCAACTCAGCCTCCCAAATGCTGGGATTACAAGCATGCAGCACCACGCCCAAGATGTGTTTTGCGTGTGTGAATCCTGAGAATGACACAGACCAGAGACCCTTCAAGTTCCCCTGGAAGCAACTCCTGTGGGGATCAGGGACACCCGGAAACAAGGAGGTGGAGACAAGTACGGCCCTGGAGGAGGAAAGTGTCCGGATACACTGGCAGCATCGAGTTCGGGGTGCGGGGGGGGGGGGGGGTGAAATAGAGAAGTCGGCTGTGATGGCTCCCACCTGTAACCCCAGCACCGAGGAGGATGAAGCAGGAGTGTCACCTTGAGACCTTGCCCCAAAAAGGCAAGTAAAAACAAAAGCAAAAAAAAAAAATTAGAGAGGCTGGAGAGTTGGCTCAGTGGTTAAGTGCGCAGGCTGCTCTCCCAAAGGACCCGGGTTTGGTTCCCAGCACCCACAGGCAGCTCACAAGCATCCATTCCAGGAGACCCGACGCCTTTGGATGTACACACAGGCATGCGAGGAAAACACCGGCATCTGGAGAAAATAAGCGAACGCAATAGAGCCGGAGATTCGGCTTGTTGACAAGCCTGGAGTTCCGTCCTTGGGGGGTCCGCGAGGCGGACAGCGGGAACTGACTCCCACAAGTTGTCCTCTGACTGGTGCATGTACTGGTGGCGTGGGTACGCTGGCTCACACTCTCATTAGATAAATCATTCGACAACTTAAAGTGCAGTTAAGGCGAGGACAAGTGCGAGGAAGATGGAGAGAGCCTGGATTGGGAATGCTCAGTGCCCTGCCTGCACACGCGTGTCACAATGACACACGGTGGACTGCTCAGTGGAGGGGGAGGTGTCTTGGATTGTTTTGTTTTGAGACCGGCCTCGCTGCATGGCCTAAGCTGGCCCATAACTTACTATGTAGCCCAGTTTGTCTGGAACTCACCATCCTTCTGCCTCAGTCTCCCAACGGTGAGGATTACAGGAGTGTACCGCCATGTTAATATCCCTGAAAATTCCTGAACAAAGGAGATACGGGAAGGTTTTTGCTAGTAGCACAAAAACTGTTAAGTGGGAGGAGCCAGAGGCCTCTCCCTGGTGCTGACTGGGTTACACCAGGCTTTTATGCCAGCCGTCGGGGATGAAGGAGATACTGGTCACCTCGGGTTGTTCACCTGCTCCTATACAGAGCTGTCTTCCAGCGCAAGACCACGTCATCACCGGCAAAGGCAGGGGAGGCTTTGGGCGATGAAGCACTGGGTAGCTAAGTGACTGATGGCTCCAGAGACACTGTAAGAGGAACCTGGAGGCTGGGGACGGAGCTCTGTGGAGGGCACTTGCCAAGCATGCACAAGGCTCAGGGCTCTGTCTCCACCCACAAACAAATCAACCCCAAACTGAGGATACAGCCCGGTACCCTGAAATAACTTATAAATGTCACCTGTTACTGTTGCAAAACGGTTTTGTTTGTTTGTTTGTTTGTTTTTTCATTTTTTCCGAGACAGGGTTTCTCTGTGAAACAATCCTGGCTGTCCTGGAACTCGCTCTGTAGACCAGGCTGGCCTCAAATTCAGAGATCCGCCTGCCTCTGCCTCCCAAGTGCTGGGATTAAAGGTGTGTGCCACCACCGCTCGGCCATCCATCCTTAATATTGAGGCTCAGGGACTTTTTACTTGACCAGGTTTACTCTCAGTCTAGATCTAACTTGAGCCTCCAGAACTCCATACACCTCTGGTGCAGCCACAAGCCCCAGCTAGATCAGGTCTTTTCAAACACACTAGTACCGTCCCCTGGTGGAGATTTAGGGAAATTGCACAAGCCTTTTGTTGTATTTAGCTACATGGATATCCCTCCCCTGAAATGTTATTATAGTGCCCAGACATGGAGGCACAAGCCTATAATTCAGTACTGCGACTGGGAGGCTGAGGCAGGAGGATTGAGAGTTCCAGCTCAGCCTGGGCTACAGAGTGAGGTCCTGTCTCAAACAGCAAGGGCAGGAGATGTCGCTCATTGGTAAAACTTTTACCAAGCATGTGCCAGCCTCGGGCACCATCTAGCAACCCAAAATAAACTTATTGTGGTAAAAGTGCACATAAAATAAAAAAAGTCTATCTTAGCCACTCTAAAAATATTTATAGACCAGATGTGGGGGCTCACGGCTTTAATCCCAGCACTCTGGAGGCACAGGCAGGTGGATCTCTGAGTTCGAGGCCAGCCTGGTCTACAGAGCGAGTCCCAGGACACCTAGGAATACACAGAGAAATCCAATCTCGAAAAACAAAACAAACAAATGAAAGAAAATGTGGAGAGCGGTGGCGTAAAGACGCCTGAAGCTGATCTCTGGCCTCAAGTGTGCATCATGTGCAAATGCCCCGCCCCCACAGGTCACGGTCCGTTTTTCTTTTTCTTTCTTTCTTTCTTTCTTTCTTTCTTTCTTTCTTTCTTTCTTTCTTTCTTTTTTTTTTTTTTTTTGGTTTTTCGAGACAGGGTTTCTCTGTATTGTTTTAGAGGTTATCCTGGAACTAGCTCTGTAGACCAGGCTGGCCTTGAACTCACAGAGATCTGCCTGCCTTGGCCTCCCAAGCGCTGGGATTAAAGGTGTGCGCCACCAACGCCCGGCTGCACGGTCCGTTTTTCGCTCCTCTTTTGCTTACACATTTGCTGGCACTCGAGCTGTGCTCACACTGGTTTGAGCACTGATGAGCACCTCTCTGCAAGTCTCTAGCTTTGATTCTTTTGGGACTGAAAAAGCAGTGCTGGATCCCCATGTTATGCTGAATTCACCTCTGAGAGACTTTCATTCTGCGATTCATGGCCCCCAAGCTGTTTCCCATCCCTTCATTAATTAGCATTTTCTCCACAGCTACTGTTGTTGCTTTCCTCCTTGCTCTTATATTTTTATTTTTGGGGGATTTATTTTATTTATTTTAAGAAATCGTTTATCCTATGATACTATGATTACATCATTTGTGTGTTTTAATGTATGTGCATGTGCTTGTATGCAATGTGCATGCAGGTGCCTGGGGAGGCCAGCAGAGGGCGTCTCACTCCCTGGAGCTGGGAATCAAACTTTTGCTTTTCTTACCTCTACCTCCCAAGTGTGGGGTTATAGGTGTGTGACACCAGGCCACCTTAGCTTTCCATTTTTTTGAAGTTCAATTTGTCCACTTTTTTTTTCCAATTCAGGGATTCTCTGTGTAGTCCCGGCTGTCCTAGAACTCTCTCTATAGACCAGACTGACCTCAAACACACAGAAATCCGCCTGCCTCTGCCTCCCGAATGCTAGAATTAATTTTAATTATTTATTTTGTGTGGAAAGAATGCCATGCCACAGTGTGTGAGTGGAGGTAAAGGAAGAACCTTCGGGAATGGGCTTTCTCCTCCCATTTTGTGGGTCGTGGGGCTCAAACTCAGGTTGTCAGACTTAATGCCTGCCATCTTCCCCAGTGAGTCACCTCGCTGGGCCTATTTCTTTTATTACCTGTCTAAGAAGGCAGAGCTAAATCAATACATTGTATCCTGCATTTTCTTCTGTGAACTTAGCTCTTAAGTTTTGGCCTCTGATACATTGTGACTTTGATTTCAAGTTACTTTTAGTATCTCTTGTCCAGTTTGATTCTTCCATAAGTGATATCTAGTTTCTCTGAGGTCAGCAGTTTGAGAGCTGCTCACCCCACATCAAACAGACTTTGCTCCTTTATCGAAAAGCATCGGGCCAGGCTGGAGAGATGCCCAGCACTTTGGAAACCTTGTTGCTCTTCCGGAGGACCTTGATTTGATTCTCAGTCACACATGGCAGCTCGCAATTGTCTAATTC